GGGCTGGGGGGCGAGGGGGGAGGCACCGCAGCCAGATTTGAGCGGGAGACGCCTGACAGATGGGGCTGCCCTAGATTTCACGACTGGCTGCCATTAAGCTGGCTTCCTGCGCCCTCCCCCCGGCCCACCCCGCTGCTGCCGAGCAGGGGGGGCCCTGTGGGGACACGGGGAGGGGGCCCCAGCATAGCGGCGATGTCCCCAGCCCATGGAGGGGTTGTGGGAACCCCCAGCCCGGTGCTAGAGCCCCAGCATCCAGCTGTGTCCTAAATGCCCGCAGCACCCCATCAGGACCCGAAATGTCCCCTCTAGTCACCCGCGCTGGCACAGCTCTCTGCCAGGGTGGAGGTGGGTTTGCTGCCACGTCCTTCTGCATGCCCAGGGCTCCGCATCTTCCTCCTCCTCTTCCTCCTCCTCCTCTCCAGCTGATCTTCCTTAACACCCCCCATATTTCTTCCCGTCTCCCCTCTGCTCCCCTCAAAAAGCTGTGGGGTGGCTTTGGGGTGCAGCCACAGCAGGGACCGTGCTGATCCGTGGGGCTCTTGGGGACATCCCCTGGGGACACAGCCGGGGTCACCGCCCAGTGCACCCCCCTGCTCCCCCCATCCTGCAGGCTGCCCCCCCGGGACCCCCCCCGCCAGCCGCTCAGCCCTGCCATGAGTTTCTGCTTCTCCTTCCTCTCACCCGAAGTGACGTGAGCCCCGGGGTTGCCAGTGCCTAATTTTACCGGTGCGGTTGGGTCCCCCCCGCCCACGCGTGCACCGGCCCCGAGGAAGCGAAAGAGAAGCAGAGCCACGGGCTGGGCCGGGGGGGACGCGGTGTGGGTGCAGCTGCAGCCCCGCATGGGCATGGGGCGAGGGTGGGATGGAGCCAGCGGGACCACCACATCCCTGCACCCCAGCAGAAAGGGGGGATTTGGGGGCTGCCGTCCACCCCCGGCCCCCAGCATCCCCCGATCCAAGGAGGTTTGGGCTCGTGTTGTGCCGGGAGAGGCACATCCAAAGCTCAGCCCCATCGCTGGGGGTTTAATCTGTAAATTTGGGTTGCTCGAGGGCTGTCTCTCCAGAGCACCAGACTGAGTGGCATTTTTTTGTTTTGTTTTGATTTTTTTTTCAGTGCCCGATCATGTTTGCCTTGGGCTTTGCTCTGAGGGGCTTTGCTCTGAGGGGCTCTGCAAGAACCTTTTGCCTGAGGGTTTTGGGGAGAGCTGTCAGCACAGGGGGAGGGATGAGGACGTGCTGCAGACCCAAGCACTGCGCAGGGGCACGGTGACTGCTGCAGGTCCCCTTGGCTGGGCCCTGCTCCGGCTGCAGGAGGGTGTCAGGATGCGGCTGCCCCCTCTCCGCGGCCGTGCCCAGCGGGGGGACAGAGCCCGCAATTCACTGGGGTGGTTTCTATTACTCCTCAAACGATGCTGAAACTTGACACGCTATCACGAAACCCACTAAGGGAAGAAATCTGGGTGAGGCAGGGAAATCCCCAGGTGGGTCCCAAAGAAGCCACCAGCCTTGTCCTCTCCTTGCCCTGCACCGAAGGCAGAAGGGGCCACCAATGTCCCTGGTGTCCCCATGGGGGACCCTGGCTCTTTCCAGCTCACCCGGAGCAGCTCCACTTTCACGGGCATTTGCAAACAAAAACTCACTGAACCTCACTTTTGTGTCATGCAGCCAGCTGCATTTCTTCCAGTCTGGTGTTGTGCTGCCCGCAGGGCCCCCTGGATGGGTGGTGTCCCCCCGTGCCTCAGTTTCCCCAGTCCTCAGCATCCCTCCAAGTGCACCGCAGAGGGGCTGTGGTCTCGGACCCCCACCCCAAGCCAGGAGGAGGAGAGAGCTGGGAGCAGCAAAGGAAGCAGGTTTCCCGTCCATCGATGTCTCCCCAAGCCCCCCAGCCGAGCTGATGCTCCAGGGCAGCGGGGGCACACACAGAGCTGGCCCAGCCTTGTCCCAGTGGCCTCATGCTCCCCAGGGGTGCACCCAGCTCCAGCTGGCACCCACGGACACAGCTCCTGACCCTGTCCCTGCTGTCCCATGATGGCTGCACTATGGCCATCCATCCGCCGTCCCCTTTCCTCTTTCTCCTCCCTGCCCCATCCCCATTCCCCAGGTCCCTCTGACATCCCCAGAGCAGGATCTTGCCAGGAGGAGCTCCCCTTCCCCTTCTCCTACCCCCAAGCGATGCCAGTCGGCTGCACCCTCCACCCAGACACCGTGGTGGGGGAACCCCCCCCTCCCCTCAGCCCTTCCGGGCACCCCCGCAGAGCTCCCCGCCCAGGCGGGGGCACCCAGACGGCCCCGGGCACGGGGGTGCCGTTTCTTTCCATTCAGAGGAGATTCCCCGGGCCCCCACGCAGGCGAAAGTGCAGAGGGTTTCCTGTTCGTAGGCGGCTGCTATCCTGGGCCGCGGGCTGCAGCGTGCGTGGGGGGGGCTCCACCCGGGCTGGGGACGCCGCGTTTCCGTGCCGAGCCGTGCCCAGGGCTCTCTCACAGCACCCAGTTATTTAGGTTTGTATTTTGGGGGGGTATTTGAAGGCAGCTTTCCCATCCCCCCATGCAGGGTTGCACCCCGCGGTGCTGCGCTCTCGCTGCGGGTGCCGCATCCTGCTGTTGGGTGGGGGAAGGTCTTGGAGAGCCGTCACCCACCCAGGGCGCACGGGGAGGGTTTCCTTAGCACCGAGCCACCAAAAAGTCACATTCTGGGGACTGCTTTCTGATGAACCCCATCAAAGACCACACAAAAAAACCCTGAAAAACATCATTTTGGGTATAGTTAGGAGGAGAAGTGGCGTCTTGGAGGGCAGCAATGGGGACAGCAAGTGGCAGGAACCTGCTGTCACCACCTCAGTGGCAGGAGGGCTGCAGCGTTTCTCATCGCCAACGCGGCAGGTCAGCGTTTTGATGAGGCCTTTTTGCATTTTTCACGATTTGCACAAGGCGAGGGGGTTCGCACGCACGTAAATTCCCCTCTGAATTTTCCAGCGAGCTGCCCCAAAGCTCGCTGAGAAGTTTCCATCCCAGTTCTGCCCTGGCTGGGAGGCGGGCGCAGGCGGGCGCTGTGTCCGTGCTTGCGTGGGGGGCTGGATCCATCCAACCCCCCCAGGTCCCTGCTCCCCAGCGGGACCCCCCTCGTCCTCCCGCATCCCCCTGGAGGGAAGAGAGGAAGATGAGGGTCGTGATGGGAGGAAGGTGATGCTCTCAGCATCGCTTCAGTCCCCCACAGCTGGAAGGAAAGGAGCAAAATGGGATGGAGAAGGGGACCCAGTGCTACCCCACGGCTGTCCCTGAGGTCACCCATGGGGCTGGGGCTGGTCCCCACGGGGCACGCGGGTGGCCTTGGCAGGCAGGGATGGACGCGGGTCTATCGCATGACCCCAGGCTGTCCCCAGGGAGATATTTGCTGTCATAATTCAGTTGATAGACTTCCAATAGTCACGCGCCTCGCGAGGGCTGTCGCTAATAATAAACGACACCCAAAGGATGGCGAGCGAAGCTGATGAGGCTTTCGGAGAGCGCTCGAGCAGCGGGTGAAGCTGGTGCTGCGGGGGGTGGCCAGGAAGGAGGGGACACCCCTGGGGACAGCGTGGCCACAGGGTCCGTACCTGGGCAGAGGGAGCCCAAAGCTCCAGGGCATTCGTGTGGGCTGGGCAGGAGCTGGGGACAAAGCTGGGACGTGAGAGAGGGGTGGGTTTGTGTGTGCTAAAAAAAAAAAAAAAAAAAAAGTGTTTTGAGGCTTTTTTTCCTCTCTCTGTTGTTGTTGTCGTCCATAAATAATAATTAAACCACCATTTCCAGCCGAGACCACTTGTTTTAAATTTCCTGGCTAAAGTGATGTAACAGCTGTGCGTGATGCAACCCCATGTGGAATGCATCATTCAGGAAACCAAGCACAGAACTGCCTTTCTCTCCAAATACTCAGCATAGCTCCTTCCCTGGCCCCCGCGCCGGGGGCTCCTGGGGTGGGGGTCCCATCCTGCACCCCCGTTGCCAGCCCCCCTTGCTCCCTGTGCTCAGTCTGTTGGAAGCTGCTGCTGGTTTTGGTGTGCACCCCCGTTTGCCCCCCAGAGTTGATAAAGCCCCGTGGCTCAACCCCTCCATGGTGGGGTGGGTTTAACCCCCCCACCCTGCGCCTAGTCCTAATTGTGATGGGGAGAATTGAGCCCTCTGTGCCCACGTCCGTCCCCTGCAGCTCCCCGTGCCCCATGAGCCCTCGAGATGGGGCTGGCCGGAGGCAGGGTGAGAAAGGGAAGAAAAAGAGGAGAAAGGGAAAGAGAAGGGGGAAAAAAAGAAAAAAGGTTGCAGTGGGAAATACGGAGTCAGAGCTGAGGTATTTCGGCAGCCGGGGCTGGAATGTCTGACTCACACTGTGACTAAATGCAAATATGAAGCCCAACTCGCTCCTTAAAGTCACCAGGATCCAGCGCGAAGCCCCGGCTGCTCCGAGCCCCCGGCCCCGCACCCCGGGGCTCCCCGGGGCCGTCAGCACCCCTAAGAGCACCCTGCGGGGTGGCAGCACCCAGAGATGTGGGCATCGGGGTCTGGAAGGAGCGGGCGGCCTGGGGGCAGGATGGCACCCCAGGAACTGCTCCCCGCTCCTCCCCTCTGTGCCATCATCCCCTCCGTGCCATCGTCCCCTCCGTGCCATCGTCCCCTCCGTGTCATTGTCGCCCCCATGCCACCATCCCCTGCCAGCGGCTTTGCCACCTCCGCCACCTGAGCAGCATTTCTTCCATCATCTGCCCACGGGGATGCACGAGGCTAAAACATCCCTTTGGAAAGATGCCCCTCGGTAAAAGCACCCCGGCACATCTCTCCGTGCTTGTGGCTGCCACTTGGCTCCACCGGTCACTCGCGGAGGGGACAGTGGCACGGGGACAGCTCCCAGCCCCCGGCCTCCCTCGGGGACACGGCCCACCCGAGAAACGCAGCCCCGTTTGATGGACATTTCACGGAAACAGGGATTTTTCTCAAGTCGCTGTATTTTTTTTTTTCTAAGCCAGTCCCACTGACCTGAAGCCTCGTTTGTTTCCAGTTTGGTCTGCGGAGGCCGGGAGGCTCCGGAGGAGGAGGGGTGAGGCCGGCATCCCACAGATCCCACCGAGGCCAAGGCCTCCCCCAGGCATTGCTGCAATGCCGGGGCCGGGCCAGCATCGCGGCCAAGGACAGCAGCGAGCCTGCCCGGACCCTCCCACTCACGACATGGGGACGGCCACGGGTGGGGGCTCGGGGGCTGAGCAACCTCCCCAAAAAGCCACCCCGGAGCCAGCCTCCATCCCTGCCCTGTTGGGTTCGGCCTCTGCCCCTGTGCCAGAGATGCTGATAGCGCCAGGTCCTGCACCATTAAGTGACAAATTTTGCGTCTTGGCCGGTTTTTGGCTGTGGAAATGGGGCCACGGCTGCGGTCTGGGCAGTGAGAGCAGGGCAGGGAGTTTGGGACAGAGCTCGGAGCTGCACCGCGGGGCAGGGACGTGTCGCTCCTGCAGCCTCGCAAAAAAACGGGGCTTCGCAGGCTGGGGAGGGCAGCACGGGGACGCTGATGGGATGTGCACAGAAAGGTGTCCCCACAGCTGCCAAAAACCAAGGGCTCAGCTCAGATCTGCTGCTCCAGGAGGGGCAAGGAGGGATTTTCCTTCTCCTCCTTTGTTTTCCAGGAAGAGCGAAGCAGGTTGAGGGAAGTGCAAAGCTGCCCCTGCTCGTCCCGCACCGCGGCCACGGGAGCTGTCAGAGGTTGGCTGGTGTCAGGCAGCGGAGGCCAATGGTTTTTTTTTAGCTCATGGTGGAGCCAGAGGCTGTTGTGCTTTCTGCTGGGCACCTTTGGTTTGCAGTGGATTTTTGCTGGATTGGCTTGATGCAACTGCATTCCTCTGCCTCCCGCTCTGGCTGCACCATTACCTGTTGGTATCTCTTTGCTTTGGTTGTGCCGCACTCACGGCATCACCTTCCTTTGGTGGGTGAGGAACCCGTGCCCGGCTCCAGCACGACCTGGGTGATTCCTGCAGAAATCTCACCCACCCATGCGATGGCCGAGCTTTGTGGGGCTGCCTTTGGGCACCGCAGCCACGGGTGCTGGGGACGGGAGGGTGGTGCTGGGGGCAGCAGGACAGAGCTGGGGGACGTGGGCTGCATGCCATGGAGCGACCAAGGGACACAGCCGGGGCTTTGTCTCCGTTGGTTCCACACCCAGCATGGGCAGGAACCTCGCTGTGGGTCCGTGCTGCTCCTGTGCTGATGTCTCCAGACCCGCTGGGGTGCTCTGGACCCACAGGATGCCAGCAGGAGGCCTCCGACAACGCCGCTGCCAGCTGCCAGGGCAGCAAACCCTTCTCTAAGGTGGCAAATGCTTTTGTAACAGCCTTGGTTCCTCCCCAGAGAGTGGTGCATGGATGGGCTCACCCTGTTCCAGCAAGGCTTGGCCAAGGGCACGTCCCCAGCGTCCTCAAAGCTTTGTGAGGAGCCTCACGGAACACCCTGCCCACGGGGGAACGCCTCCACGCCCTCCTTCAGGTCAGGTTGTGCTCTGGGGTCCCCCTTGTGCAACAATTTTTTCCCCTGCCGTGGCTCGCTCTGAGCAGTGCCGGAGTCATTGTGAAACTGCTTCACTGGAGCTCCTGGCGCTGCAGGAGCCGATCTCAGCTCTGCTCACTTCTTGGTGGCCCTGACAGCTGCAGAGACGAGAGCTGCTATCCCCATCCCAAAGGGCTGGGCTGTGAAAATCAGGAGAACCTGAGGTGTCACAGCGCCGTGCAGCTCTGCATGGGGTCTGCCCGCGGCACACACTGCGGGGGACCTGGGGGGGCCCTGTGGGCTCCTCGCATCTCTGCATGGGGAATCGCACCCGAGCCCCTCCAGGGTCAGGGGTGGAGAAAGTGGAGGTGGAGAGGATGAAGATGGAGGTGGTGTCTGCCTGGCACACGTCTGTTCAGCGGGTGTCCCGTCTCCGTGTCGTGCCCCTTTCCGTATTGCCCCCATCCCTGCCGGTTCTGCCCTAAAATAGCCCCCAGATGGGAAGCTGCAGGGCTGTGCCACGAGCTGGAAGGGGAATCATTGAAAGATAGAATACCTGAGTTGGAAGGGACCCACGAGGATCATCAAGTCCCGCTCCTGGGTCCCCAGAGGACCACCCAAAATCAGACCGTGTCTGAGAGCGGTGTTCAAACGCTTCTTGAACTCTGGCAGGCTCGGGGCTGTGACCACCACCCCGGGGAGCCTGTCCCCATGCCCGAGAAACTTTGGGCACTTCAGGAACTTTGCTTAGAGTGAAACGTGGTGCTGGAGGAGCCCTGAGCCTTGTGGGCAGGCCTGGGCACACGCTTTTTGTCATGCCCCTGCCACCAGGAGCCTGGTGCCACACTCACACCCACCTAAGCACCCGCTGCCATCACCAGCCCACCCCCAAATCCACTCAGGTTCCCCCTTTTTCTTTCTATTTTCAGCCCATGCAAAGACACCCAGCAGTGAGCAGGGCTTGGGGAAGGGAAATCTTCAAAGCTGATCATGGTGTGGGGTGTCCCGGGGAAGGGAAATCCCACAGGACCCCTGTCGCTGCCCGTGGGGCTTTGCACAGCCCTCGGTGGCAGGGCACCCGGGCTCTGAGCTTTAATTGCGATTGTTGACAGGGAAATTATGGCCACACAGGCAAAATTAGAATATAATCGCATTAGGGAAATGTTTAATCTCTTCCTTGTCATCCCGAAGAGCGGAAGGCGGAGGGGGAGCGGGCGAGGGGCGACGCTTCACAGCAAGGGGAGAGTGACCGCTCTGGGGGGGGACAGGGGGGTGACAGCACCCCGAGGGGGGGGCCACCAGGCAGGGACAAAACACGGGAGGAAAGGCAAGGGGCACTGCACGAGGCTGCTCCACTGTTCCTTTAGCACCGGGAGCATGAAGCATGGGCCAGGGGGTGACATCTCTGCACCCCAGTCAGGGCTCAGCCCCGCTCCCAGCAGTGGTTTTATGTCACCCCCAGCCCCTCGGTGCCCCCGGGAAGGCTCCCGGCCGGGGCACAGCAGTGCCGAGGCTGCAGGGAACCCGAGCCAGCCATGGCAGGGTGACCGGGGCTCGATGAAGGGATGGGGCTGAAGGCAGAGGGGCGAGGATGCTTCCAGTATTGTTTGGTCTCCAGGCACGGGAGGCATTTGGGGTGTCACAGGTGCTATGGAGAGGGGGAGAGGGGACATTTCTGCTGCCACCTGCATCCCCCATGGGGTCCTGTGTCCTCCCTCCCCACCCCTTGCTCCCTTTGCCCCCCGACGGGCACCGCTCCGCTGCTCAGCACCCCAGCAGCCAGCGGGTACAAGCCCAGGGAGGGCATCCAGAGAGGAGGGGAGAAAACCCCAAATCCTCCACAGAATTGGGGCATCTCCCCCCCAGCCCCGCTCGGCGTCTGCTCTGGGAGCGCAGCGATCCAGCGCCACCCCTAACCCCCGGTTAATAACCGAATAATTATAAAGCAGCAACTTTATTCGACTCGCTAACCCCCTGCCCACCCAACACCAGTGCCCGCCGGGCCGCCCCCGCCCCCGCCCCCGGCCGGGCTCTTTTCTGCCCGCCCGCCCCGTCGGGGGCCCCGCGGCCGCCGGGGGAGCTGCGGGCGGCGACGCGAAACAACGCCCGCCCCCTGCCCGCGCAGAGCCCCGCCTCCCCGCTTGGTGGGCGGGCCCCGCGGCAGGGCGCGTTCCGATTGGCCACGCCTCCCGCCACTCGCGCTGCGCCCCCTTTCCATTGGGCAGCGCCGCGCGGCCTTATCAGTGTTCATCTCACCCAATCCTCGTCTGTATCCCTCCGCCACAAAACATAGTCCCCCTCTCCTCACGGCGGCCCTCCCCCCCCACACCCCCCACACCCCTCCCGCCGCGCTCCCCCCTTCTCCCCCTTTTCCCCCCCACGCTGCTTTCATCTCTGCCCTCTCCTCGCTGCGGCGGGGGGGAGATACGGAGAGGAGAGGCGGCGGAGGGATACAGCGAGGGGAGGCGCCTGAGGTGGAGTGGGCGTGGCCTAACGGGGGAGGGGGGGGGGGGGGGGAGGCGGCGGCGCTGGGGCCCGGCCAAACCCCGGGGGCGGGGGCGCGGGGCGCACGCGCCGCCCGGGCCGGAGCCAGGCGCTGCCGCTTCGCTGCGCCGTGCCCGCCGGCGGCGCCAGAACAATAGGGGCCGGGGCCGGGGCCGGGGCCGGGGCCGCCCGCCGGCACAGGGCGCCGCGGCCGCTTCCAAGGCCGGGCCGGGGCCGCAGCCACCGCCTGGGTGCCCGCGGGAGCTTCATGCGCTGCCCTTCTCCTCCTGCCCCCCCCCCCCTCTCCCCGCCCGCCGCCCCTCCGCGCACGCACCGGGGGCGCGGTTGTGCCCCGGAACAGGTAAAAAAAAAATAATAAAAAAACAGAAAAAAAAAAAACTTAAGGAGGGGGGGGGGGGAACGGTATGGGGGGGGGGGGCAGACCTCGAGCAGCCGCGGGCGGGGCGGGACCCCCGGGGGGGGGCTGGGAACTGAGGTGGGGGGGGGGGGGCTCGGGGGGGTCCGTGCCCGGCGCCCCCCGGCCCGGCTCTTTTGTCCCCGGCGCTCCGCGAAGTTTGCAGGGGGGGATGGGGGGGGGGCTGCAGGCACCGGGACCCCCCCCCCTCCTCACCCCCTTTCCACGCTGCGGGGGGGGGTCCGGCTCTTTATGGGGGGGGGGGCCCGTTCCCTCGCCCCGCTCCCGGTGGCTGCGAAGTTGGGGCCGGGCCCCCCCGGGGGGGTTTTGGTGGGGGGGGGTCTCTGTTCCTCCCCCCCCCCATGGCTGTGAAAGTTTCGAGGGGGGGCACAAGGAGGGGGCGGCCCGCTCTGAGCCCCCCCCCCTTAGCGTGAGGCCGGTGGGGGGGGGGGCTAAAAGGAGGGGGGGGGCCGCTCGGCCTCCACCCCGGCCCGGGGGGGGCTGCACGGTTTGGGGGTGGGGGGGGGGGGCACGAAGGGGTCCGGGTGGCGGTGGGGCCGCTTGGGCTCGTCCCGGGGCGATGCGAGGGGGTTTGGGGGGGGCAGAGGCTGCTTCAAACGCCCCCCCCCCCGGCCACGCCGAGCGGTGGCTGCAGGGGCCCGGCCCGGCCGGGAGGGGGGCACGGAGCCGGCCGGGCCTTGGCAGCCTTTGTCCTGCCCGGGGGGGGCACGGGGGGAGCGGGGAAGCGGCCTCGGACCCCCCCCCCCGGGGACCCCCCCACCAGTCCCGGGGGTCAGCCCGGCCCCGGCCTTTGTGCGGATGGAGGACGGGGCCCGGCGGCCCTTTTAACTTTTAAGTTAAAAACAGAGTTTTGTTTTGCTTTTTTTTTATAAAAAGAGGTGAAAATAGTTATTTTTTTCAAAAAGGCCCTGGCTGAACCCTGCACTGCGAGTTGTTAAAGTTGTCCCGGAGCGAGCGTTGCCTCGGGGGGCTTCGTGTGCTGGAAATGGGGGGGGTCCCAAGGTGCTGCCCCCCCCCCAGCACCCAAGGGACCCCCAGAAGGGGGCTCCCTGCCCGCCCCCCCCCCCATCACCGCCGGGAGCGGGGCTGTGGGTGGGTGAAGGCGCTTTAAAAATAATGTCCAGATGCACTGGTGACTCTTAAACTCCTTTTTTAAAACAAAAAATAAAATAAAAAATCCCCGGGCTGTTTTTCCGTGCTGGGCAGATTTCGGTATATTTTGTATTTTAAAACTTTATTGAAATGTGGTGGCTGAGCCGGCACAGCTTACAAACAGTTTGGATCACATGCAGTTGTCTTCTTTTTTTTTTTAACCTTATGATTAATGAGTTAAATTTATTGGCCAGCTGCCCTTTATAACCATGAATGAGTTCCTAAAAAAAAAAAAAAAAAAAAGAGAGAAAAAAAAGGAATCTTTTATCTCCTCCCAGGCCTCTCTTCCTCCCTCCCAAAGAAATGTTTTTCTATCACAGTGACTTGGCCAAAAAGATCAATCTCCCTTTTAAAAAACAAAACAAAAAAAAAATCCGTAAAATTAGGAAGAATAATATTTACCTATCTTGCCAGGTTGCCTGAAGAGCTTTATTTTTGCAGCCCCCTCCAAAAACAAGGCGTTTTTTTAAATTTTCTTCAGGCCCTTTTTTTTTTTGGGGAGGGGGGGGCCGTTCTCACCACTCCTCTCGCCGGCGCTGGGCATCCCCACGCTCAGCCCTGGAGCAGCAGCTGCAGGTGCTCAGCAACCTCCAGGAAAGAGGCACAAGATCAGACTTTTTTTTTTTTTTTCTCTCGTTTTTTAAACAAAACTCGGCAAGGACAAGAGCGAGCGTGGGGGAAGGCGAAGGGGCGAGCCGAGCCAGACAAGCGCCCGAGTGATAACTTGCCTGAACCCTTTGATAAATGAGTTGACTTTTTTTTTTTTTTTTTTTTCCCCCTTCATTCGCCGCACGCCAGGACCAGAATTGGCCCGAACTAGTGGAATTGGCAGCAAAAAACTAACATCCAAGTGTGTCTGGTCAATAGCCCGCTTGTTCCTGCCCCTGGGTGCGATGTGAGGGCTTTGCCTGTGCTCCCAGCCCGCCGGGGCTCAGCGCTCGGCTGCGTTTTCTTTTTCTCCTTCCCCCTTTCTCTCTCCTCTCGCTGTGTCTTTTTTAAATATTCATCAATGGGGTGGGTAGTTTGCTCTAGTCATTAAAATATCTCCTTCCCCTCCCCCTTGCTTTCTCTAGGACTGCCACTGTTGAGTCTGTGGGAGTATGAATCAGCAGCAGCAGAGAATGGCTGCAGTTGGGACAGACAAAGAGCTCAGTGACCTGCTGGACTTCAGTATGGTGAGCGAGGGCCCGGGGCTTCGGAGCCGCACGGGGGAGGAAATGGGAGCCTGGAAATTGGCCGTGATGGGTTTCAGATGTGCCGTGTTTGTGTGCATGCACATGTGCTGCAACTTGTTTATTTTCAAGTTAAAGCAAAGCTGCTGCCCCTCCTCCCCCCCCCCCTTCCCCTCGATGTATATTGTTTCCTCACTGGGAGTACAGAGAGGTGGGGGGGTTGGTGGGTTTCGGTGTTTTTTTCTTGTTTTTGTTTTTTTTTTTTTGGATGGGAAATTCTGGGGAAACATAACGTCCTTGTGTGTAGCCTGTTTAAATGCTGGTGGTGAAAGAGCCAGGTAACTGTTTTTGAAGCCATGGATACAAAGCTAATGCAAAGATGTAACTTCAGTAGCTGATTAATCAGGCTTCTTTCCTCTCCCCAGATCCAGACTATTAAACTTTTGCTCCCACAGGTTATTCTATCTCGGTTTGAAATTTGTCCAAGCTCTCCAGCACATTATTTTTGCAGGAGTTAGGCACTCGCGTTCCCCACGCTCTGCTCTACTGGAAACCTTTTAGCTGCCTTTAGGGGCTGTTCGTTTTCAAAGAAACAGAACCTAAGAGTTCCCCCTGAAGGACGTGCGCGGCTCAGAGGGAAGAGAAGTCCCTGGTAGCCGCAGCAGAGCGCGGGTTAGTCCCCAGCACAGCTGCCTGTGCTGCCGTCTGCAGTCAGCGACGTGCCACATCGAGCACATCGAGCCTCTGCCACACCGGGGCTGGCAGGTGACTTGCGGAGGGGAGAGCTCGTGTTCAAAAAGAAAATAACTTTGTTGGGTTCCTCTGTCGTTTGCTGCACCCTCACGGGGTTTGGAGCGCGCGTCTTGCTTTTAAGATAAGCAAACGTACTGCGAAGATAGAGAAAACAGCTCCTCGAGGAGGAATAACCATGGGTGCCGTGGCTTTGGCTGCGGGCTGGCCCCCGGGTTGATTTTCTTGCCCCGTAGGGAGGAGGGGAGAAGAGTAAAAGGGGAAAAAGGTGGCAAAAGCGGGGGTCCTGCTGTCCTTGTAGCTGTGACGCCTGTGGAAAGTGCTGAAGCCTGGTAGCTTTGCACCCAAGCACTGAGGTTTAGCAGTGAGGAATAAACCTTTTTGTACAGCTGGGGCTGTACCTGTCCCTGCTGGGCTCCGTTCTGGGGAGTTTTGGCGGTGGTGCCTCTGTCCCACGTAAGATCAAGTCTCCTGCAGAAGGATGAATCCACTTCTCCTAGTGCTGGGCTTCTGTCGGGAGGCTGGCTCTGTTAAATGAACAGCAGGATGTTTTACCGTTGGTCGTGGGACTGGGTTAAAGCATACCTTTAAAAACAGGGCTACCTCCAGGTTCGCTGGGGAGCGGTGTGCGGTTATTCTGCTCTTATCCTCGAGGTCCTGCTGCTCAGCAGGTGTCCTGGGGCTCTCCGGCTCGTCCACCAGGCAGTGCCAGGTTTTGGGCTGAGCCTCGCTCAGTAGCCCATAGCCTGCTCGCAGGTTGGGGCTGTGCCAGCTCCTGCTTTGCTTGGTCTCTGAGGAAAAAACCACACAAATCCCACTCCCCGTTCAGAGCTTTAAAAAACCCAAGCCCTTATTTTCAAAATTGACAACCCATCCTCACTCAGTTGCATGCTGAGAGCTGTATTCCCTGGAGGGGTGCTGACCTGTTCCCTCTGTATATGAATATTTCTGTCCTTGGAGATTAATCTGCGGCCAAGGGTTGGATTTGGGTTTGATTCCAGCTCTCCTACGCTGATGTAAACCTGGGGAATGACCAGAATTTGTTCTGCGCTCGTCTGAGGCTTATGCATTCAGCAGCGGCACCGGGGGCGGCTGCCTGCAGGATCAGGGCCTGCAAATGTCATTTGCCAGCGAGTGATTCGAAGACATTCCCTCCAGGATAAGTTGGCCGATGGGCTCCGATGCAGGCTGGATGTGAGCCAGGTCTGTTTCACAAGCCCTCGTCTCTCCGCACATGCACAGCCTTCTCCTGAGTTTGCATAAAGGGCTATTAGCATCTCTCCTGGAGGATGGGAAGTGGAAATGGAAAGGTTCCTCGCTGGGAGCTGGGCACCCTGGCGTTGCAGGCTTGTGCAAAACGTGGGGGTGTCAGGGAGACTGCGCTGTGGGTTTCTGTACTTGTGTAATTGGGATGTAGAATTTTTGGCCACAAATCTCATTCTCAAGTGTATTTATATGTTTTTTTGGAATAAGCAGGAGTGGAGCCCAATAATCCTCTCTAGAAGAGAGTGGAAGGAGGGAAGACAGGAGAGATTCAGAGAGGCTGGAGGCATTTGTTTCAGATCAGCCTTTCAGTTCCTTTTTCCTAGGGAATGTTCAGCCCCTGTAGCCCGTGGTCCAGCTTCGTGCAGTCTTTAGGGTGGATTTTAATGTCTGGGCCTGGTGGGTTTGCAGAGTTGATAAAAGGGTTGTGCGAGAGGCTGTAAATGGGGCTTAGAGCCCTGGAAAGAAAGGCTTGTGCCTTGTTTAATAAAGAAACACGTTGGGTAGCTGCTGAGCTGCGAAGCACTCACCCGAAGCTTTCTGCCAGTATAATTTGACAATGAGGGTGAAAACCAAAGCAACGTGCTTCTGAGCGAGCTGGAGCCAAACGTGCAGCCCTGTATTCGGCTTGCTGCTCTGGGGTGTGCGCGGCACAGCGCTTACCTCTACCTCGGAACAAATTGCCTTTTATAATTGCCCCAAAGTGCAGGTAATTTGTAAGCTTTCTTTCACCACCACTCCCTGGCAATAGTCCAGAACAGGCTTGCAAATCTGGAGGAGAGCTTTCGAGAAAGCATCCTGCCTATTGCTTCGCGTCGCCGGCTTCCACCTTTTTAGCAGCCCTTCGTTCTGGTGCGTGACTTTGTGCCAGGCTGGGGCTGGCGGGCACGTGCGGTGCGAGCTGTGCCCGGGTGTTGCCCACACGTGCATCGTGAGATCCTCGCTGCAGCCATCCTGGACCACATCTGTGCCCTGCTGCTGGTGCCTGCGTGTCCTGGGAAGGCACAGGCATGTCCCGGGGTGGGTGCCCAGGCACAGGGCTCTGCCTTGCCCACGGACGGGGCTGGGGGCTCATCCGTGCCGCGGTGCGCGCCTGCCAAGCCGGAGAGAGGCAGGCGGCTGCGTGCCAGCCTGGGTCTCTGGCAGAAGTGAAATACTGTTAACAGCCATGATTATTAGCAGAGTATTAACCATATGCTGCGGGGATGCCGCTTGTCAGGGCGGGCTTCTAACTCGGTGAGAAGTTGCAGGGTGGGCAGAGGCTTGAGCAGTCGCCTAGGGCTGCTTCCTCGGCAAGTGACGGCTCTCGCTGCCTGCTGGCCCTCGCCATCCAGCCGCTGAAATAAGAGTAGAAACCGAACTGTTTGCAGCCAGCAGGGCTTGAGCAGCTCTTTCTGCCCCTGCTCCTGCGGCTCCCGAGGTGCTGGATGCTGCTGAAGCAGCGCCGAGTGCCCTGCTCTGGCCAAGGCGCGGTGCCTGCATTTCCATGATAAAACTCTCGCTTTTGTTTCGAGGGAAGCGGTGGTGAAGTTTGCTTTACGCCGCGGTGGACGTTTGGGGCTGTAGTCAGGAAGGCCTGCCTTAAATGAACACGTATGAAATATCCTGCTGGCAACGTTTATTGAGTCGAATTCCCTCTTCTCCCCGAATTAACAGCTGGATGCTTTCCACTCTGCAAAATAGATTTCAGGTTTTGAGTTCAGGCCTGAGGTTGGCTCAGCCTGGAGTTCATAAGGTGGAGGAGCGGGGGAAGTGAAAACAGCTCTTTAATTTGAAAACACTGATGCACTGGTGGAAGTGCCCAATAAATGAAATGCTGCTTGATATTGTTACTTGTGTCTGGCAAATTCCCTCTCTTGCTTACAACTTTGCTGCCGGGAGCGTGGGGTCTCTCAGCTGTAATTCCCCGGCAGCGAGCGCGGGTGTTGGGAGCTCCCCGTGCTCTGGGTTTGCATCTTTAAATCTGGGAGAAGTGGAGGGGGAATAAATCCTTAGGTGGGGGGGAGGTAGAGCATTAGGGCATTGTTGTCAGCTGTCAGGGAGGCCGGAGACATGACTTGAGAAACTATATACAGAGCCTTAAGATGGGGGATTTTACATAACCACTTACATCTCCGTTATTCAAATCCAACAAAGGACGAGTAATGACCCAATTACAGCTCCTCCGAGGCTGCGCCTGGGTCCCTCTGGTGTGTGCCAGCCCCGGTCATCCTCCCCCCCCCCTTGAAGTTTATTTTTAAAGCTGCGTTTCGAAGCAGAAAGGAAATTCGCAGTGGGTGGGTGAACTTTGGCTGTGAGTGACACACGCCAGCGAGCGCCTCGCGAATGACTTGCACCCAGCTCCTCGGCACGGCCGTGCACCAGCCCGCACCATGGTGGAAAAACAACTTGGCAGCAAAAAAAAAAAAAGTAAAAAGAAAAAAAAATAAAACCACCAAAAAAATGAAACGTTTCCTGGAGCCGGCGAGCGATAAAGGTGCTCGGAGCCTGCCTCGAGGCGCGGGGTGACCCGGGGCACCCCGCTTGGTCGCGGATCCCTGCGGGAGGGAGTGCAGGAAGGGTTGCATCAGTCTGAAACCTCGCGGTGGTGGCGCGGTGGCGAGGGCATCCCCGCGGGGGCGTGCTGGGGATTGCCGCACGCGGGGGGGACACCTCTGTGCAGGAGTAAAGGCGCAGAGTGGAACGGGGCTGCTCATTTTCTCCGCTGGTGCTTGCTGCTCCAACCGCGGGGTTTTCGGCGTCGGCGCGTAGGAAGCAGAAAACCTCGCGGAAAGGAGGCAGGGGAGCTCTTGGGGTTCTGTTTTGCTGCTCAGGGTGGGGGTGCCCCGTGCTTATGTGGGCAGAAGTGCCTCTTACTGCCTGGAAAAGGGGTCCCGGACCCCTTGGTCGTCTTCCCCACCTCAGTGAGAGGACGTGTGAGCGGGGCCGGGCCGGGTCAGCTGTGCAAATTCCATTTTTAGTCATTTCAGGGATCTTTGCAGAAAACAGCGCTGGCAAAAACAAACCAGAGCACTGAAAGGAAGGTAGGCTGCAAACATTCGGTGTCGTCAGGGTTTGTTTTTGTTTTCTAGCCCGACTTCCTGAGGAAACAAGGCCCGTTCGATGGTGGGGCCACCGGCCCCCTGGGTGCGGGGCTGAGCCTCTGGGGGTGCAGGGGGGGCCCCAGCAGGGGCTGAGCCCCCGGGGAGCAGGGTGCTGGCAGCAGGGTGACACCGTGGGGAGGAACGTGCCTGCGGGCTTGCTGCTGGTTGTCCACACGTGCACTTAAATGCTGCTTACACCTTTATTTAAATGCGTGTGCTTCTGTACTGCTCAAGTGTGCACCTTCATAAATATATATGATCCCAAATTTGAGTTCTTTTTTGAATGGCAGTTGGTTTCTTAACTGCTCTCTTTGCATCTCTACCACATTTAACTGTGTTTTTTTTTTTTTTCTCCCCAGCTTTTGTAAAAACAAAGCTGGGCAGACGGTTCTGTACAAAGGAATGTTTCTGACCACAGCCAGACATCAGCTATGTCAGGGCACGAAACGCTGCCTTTCTGTAGGCTCTTGTGCCATTACATTGTTTAATCTTCAAAGCATTAAACTTTTGAGTTACTCAGACATTGCAAAGCTAAAAATAATAAAAATTCAAATGACTTGGTGGTGAAAGTATCTTGAGTAGTAAAAGGATATTAAAATGTTAATTCACGAAGCGTTTTCCCACCAGTTGTTTTATTGGCTGGAGCTCCATTTGTGTGGAGCAGAATTAGTTTTCTGCTGCACGCAGGTGCATATAGATTTTTAAATAACAGCTTCTGAAGCCCTCCCACCTTACATTAAATATATTGACCCGGGTTCGCTGATGAGGTACACGGTGTTTTTGGGGAAGCTCCCTGGCAGAAGATGAGCTGTGATACTGTGGCCACAGCAGCATAGCAAGCGAGTAGCCAGCGTTACTGACTTTGCAAAATATGCAAATGTTGCTCGGCGGGAGTTAAATACCTTTGAACTTGGCACAGTTTCTGCCAGCCCATGGGCTGCGTTCGCTCGTGGTGCTGCTGGAGCCCCCAGGGACCGGGGTTGGGAGCTGGCATGGGGCTGCTGGGTGGCCTTGGGCACGGGGTGAGACCTGGACCGTGCTGGGGGTCGAGGGACGAAGTGAGCTCTGTCGGGTGCTGTCGCTGGCCTGGGAGCTTTTTATGAATGAAGTCGGGCATTCGGCATGGCTCCGGGGGCACCCTCCTGGCTGGGCAGTGCTGAATAGGCTGGGGCAGAAACTGTCGGTTTTGACCGCAGCAGCGATGCGTCTTGGATGGCTTTCAACTGCACCTAAGGAACCAGACACGCTGTGTACACAGGAGAAGTTTATGCACGTAGGAATGTGTGTGTATATTAGCGCACAGCTGCGCTGCTCTCCTGTCCCTCCTGCAGCTGATCTATGTAGCAGGGACGCGGGGAGAGGAAAGTTTTTTGCATCAGTAAAGTGCTTCTCTTCCCCTTTCCTCCCCCTGCCTGCCCAACACGACCCCCCCTTTGCAGCAGCACAGCAAAACTAACATACTGAAATCTCTTTTCTCTTCCCTTCCCTCTCATCTCCTTGTTTTTCTAGATGTTTCCCCTGCCAGTGGCTAATGGAAAAAACAGACCCACGACCCTAGCAAGCACTCAGTTTGGAGGATCAGGTATTGTCATCTTATTTTTTTTTCTCTTTAACAACGTAGTCTCTTACAATAAATGTGTGTTTGCTACCAGAGACCCAGCCGGAGCGGTTTCGGTAGTTTTGTGTGTTGTGTGTTTTTCTGGTGGTTGTCTGCTGCTGGTTCGGATGCTCTCCTTGTTGCTCTGCGTGTCTCTGGGCAGGCAGAGCTGCTCGTGCTGGTCTGCCTCTGGTTGGGAGGCTGCTACCAGAGCTGGGGGTGGTGTGCTGGACCCTGGAAGACTTTTTCTGCACATCACTGAGGAGACACTTCCTTGGTGGTGAATTCCTGGGGCTCGGCTGCCTGAAGGAAGACTCCGGTGCAATTTGGGTGTCTGCTCCATTCAGCCCCCCAGCAGCTCAGCTCCCTGCCGCGGATGAGATCTCTCTGTTCCCAAAAGTGCCTTCACAAAGCCCTCCTGGCAGCAGGGAGATGGGCAGCGAGGGTGGCTGGAGCCGTGCACGAGGTTTGGGGCTGCTGGGGGGCAGAGCAGAGCCGTGCGGCTGCATCCCTGCTGGCGAGGGTACAAGGATGCCTGCATCAAAGGGGTTTGGGAGCAGGGTGTCTGCGGGAGGAGCAGCAGGCTCTGAAGGGCATGGAGCTTTTAGATGTCTGGTTTTGGAATCACGGTGTGGATTCATCTGAGGCTGAAGCGGAGAATTCCCAGGCCAGGCGGACGGCGCGGTGCCGTGCCAGGCTTTTGATGCCCGGGGAAGGTGTGCTCTGCGCAGGGCTCGCTGCAGCCCCTGGCATGCAGGAAGTTCGCTTAATTTGCCCTTCTTGCTGAAACATGCTGCTGCTTTGGGGATGGTTAAAACTTGACCTTCCTGCGTTGGCTCGAGTCGAGCTGTCTGGGGAAAGGGCAGTGCCCGTGGCCAGCCACAGGGAGCAGGGTGGGATTTCTGCATGGTGGTGGAAAAGGGGAGCTCCTGTGGAAGCAACGTGCAGTGCTCTGCTCCTGCTCTTTGGGGCCAGGGGAATGTGGAACTGTTTAGCTGCTTGTCAAGATGTTTTTGAGCAAACATTTTTACAGGGAGGTAAGCCGTTGAGTGGGTGCTGGAGAAAAGGGAGGAAATTCAAGGGCAGAAACTCTCGGGTTAACCCAGATGGAAGCTGATCTCCCCAGCGAGTGTTCCTGTGTATGAACGTGCCTGCGACTTCTGCTGTTAAAATAATCCACCAAAGACATGCTACACGCTAGTGAGAGAATAGCTCTGGAGCAAGCTCCCATTAATTCGTTTCCTGCTCGGAGGCTGGCTTGGCTGCCTGGCTTGCAGAGCCGGCCAGCGAGCTGAGGCTTCAAGCAAGGCTGTGCTGGTGCAGCCAGCGTGGTGACCGGACCCCCTCTGCCTAGCTGGGCTGCAGCCAAAACGATGCAGAACCTTTTTCTTTCTTTTTATTTCTTCCCCTCTCTCTTCGTTCGGGTGAGTGAAAGGTAATGTTGACACCACCCTTCCTCTGGGCTGGTGCTTTCTGAGCCTGGCTGTGAGTAGTTCATAAAAACAGAGGACTGATATTATACAACAGCAGTTGCACAATCACTGCTGTCCTGGTTTTGGGGCTCTGGGGCAGCTCTTTTGTCCTGCAAACAGGCAGCCTGTGTTTGAAATGCATCTTGAGGCTTGGTTTAGGGGAAACCTTTTGCTGCACCAGCAGCATTCGCTCCTCAGCCTGTTGTGCTTAGCCTCACCTTTGGAGAGTGAGGGGGACACATTTCAATTCCTCTTCACATTTGTGACTTCTGGGTGTTTGAAGAAGGATTTTTGCAGTTATTCACTCAGCAATAAGATTCCAATAAGGTGTGCAGCGTACAGGGGTGCAGTGCAGCTGCTAGAAGGATCCAGGCTGTCTACAGAAGGTCCTAGATTGTGGTTTTCATAGTCTGTGGATGGTGGTTAAGCTTAATTTACTAATTGACAGCAAGGTGCCATCAGAGGCTGGTTCATCCTCAAAGGCACAGCCAGGCAGCTAGCTCAGAACTCGATGATGACTTGTCACCAGCGCTGCTTGGTCGGAGGTGAGGAGCAGATGGCCCTTGGATTTGGGGACCTGGACTTGCTGAGGGAGCAGAGCGCCTTGCAGCCATCGGTAATCTGGACCTGGAGATTAGCTCCTTAAGTCTGCTCACCGCACAGCAAGGCCTGGGATTCATCTTCAGTGTACCTCGTGTTTTTCAAATGCTTGTGTTCGGCTGGGTCCCATGCCCCTGGTAAAACAGTGCTGTGTTTCCCCTCCACTGCCATCCCTCTCCTTGGAAGGAGGAACCAAGCGCCAATTCGCTGAAGTCTTGGCTCAGCAGCGCGCCCTACAACATCAATACCTCGTTATTGCAATAACCCCCAGATAATAAACTGATGCCTTCTGCGCCAGGAGCATTTATGTTTTGCGCTTCTGCCCACCGTTGGAAATGTGAATTCGTGGCCTCCCACTCTTCATCTCCCTCCTCCTCAGGGAGATCCTGGGGCAAGGTGGAGCTCTTCTTTTTTCCCCTCCGGAGGAGCCTTCAGCTCGAGGCTCTGTGCTGCCCAGGGGAAGCTGGAAGTGGAAGGAGCCGGGCAGGGACCCTGCTGACTCCCAGCCAAAACGCCCTGTTTGCCAGGATAAGGCTCTCGCTTCCAAAATCCGGCTGGTAAATAAGGTAGTGTGGTAATATGAAACACTGCTACTAGAAAACTGCGGTGATAAAGCTGCCCCAAATTGAAATCCTCTTCAAATCCCAATTAATGACTGCTTTGGCTGCCCCTGGCTGGGCTGCTGGCGCGTGCGTGGGTGGCCTCCTCGCGAGGGGGGACCCGGTTTGCTCTCTGAAGCCAGGAAAATTCAAAGTGTTAATGCAAGCCCTCCAGCTTTGAGATCTCTTTGCTTTTATATTTGTCTCCTGGTTTTATTTTAAGCGCTGCCACTGTTTCCCTCATTTCTGTCCTTAAATGCACCAGGGAGGAACTGGTTTAGCTATCCCGCCGCCCGGACAATTCAGCACCTCCGCTTTGCGTTTTTTTGGCAAGGCGAAACCCAACAATTGCCACTAGGACGGAGCTGACGTCATGCAGGCCGTGTCTGCAGCATTTATAGCACATATAGGTCACCGCGGGGAAGTTGGTCTTCCTGGGGCTTGGAGCTGCCACCAGCGCTTCCAGCGTGAGCCCCGCTGTTTGCTGCCGGGGCGCCCGGCACATGCCTATTGTCCTGCTCCTGCAGGGCTGTGGTTTCGTCATCCCCGTGCCAAACTGTTTGTTATTTGCAGTAGCAAAACATTTCAAGCCATGTCCTCTGTCCCCCCGCCCCCCATGTCATAGTTCGTAGATGACTAATCTGATCAGAAACGAGCTCCCTCCCAGCGTGCTTAATTAAACTGCGCCTCTAGCAGGAAACCGCGCGTGCTGGATTTCACATGGAAATGACCATTTTTAATTGATGCTGAGACAGGAGGAGTGGCGGGAGGTGAAGAAGTTTCATTGTCTCTTCCCGGGCCGTGGCATCGCCGTCGGGCCACGCCGGGGCTGTCACCTCGTGGCTGCTGAGTTTTCGGGGTCAGCGCGTGCCAGCTGCGCCGCTGCCGCAGCAAACACGTCAGGGCTCTGCCGAGCAGGGAAGGGAAACCGAGGCAAACGGCTGCACGAGGTAATGCATCTCCTGGAGCAGCTCAGCAGCAGTGCTTTGAATCCACAATGAATGTACGGTGCCTGTAGCCCTCTCCCCAAAGCATCAGCAAAGTGTGCGATGCCAGGGTTGTGTCCTATTGGAACAGGAGCCCAGGCTGCCTTCTGCCGACGTGATTCCTGCTCACAATAAATAAAATCTTTGCTAAAAAAAAATAGCCTTAATCGTTTTCCTTCTGAGTAACCAAATTCACCGTTAAATGTCTTTTCTTTCTCGCTTTGTGCTGAAGGGAGCTCCCGTGCTTGAGGTCCCTTGGGTGGGTTTGGAGGGGAGAGGTCCCCCCCCTGCTCCGTGCTGTGATTTCCACCCCCAAAATTTGTTCAGTGCTTTTTTGCCAGTGAGATTGTGAGATGAGGCTCATTGTTGAGGGAATTGCTTTGATCGGGGCAAGTTCATAAAATACATTTGAAGCTGGCTAACCAGGGAGTTTTTCAAAGAGTTACAAGCTGGTGCATGTAACAAATTTTAAGTTATAGTCTAGTGAACAAAGCAAATGCATTCTCCCCGGAGGTAGGTGAGTCTGTATCCCCTTTGAAAGCCTGCTTTAAACAACGTTCAAACTTGGATACCTGTGGCAACAGCACTGAGAGTAATAAATTCTATGAAAGATGAGGTTGTCTCGTTAATTGGGGCTGTGGGTTAGCTGTTTGAAGATTTAATTATTCTGCGTGTGCACGCAGCCGCGTGTCAGGAGGATCCCGGCGTGGAAGGGAGGCTTTGGGGGGCTGGGGGCTGGTGGTAAAAGCAGCGAATTTGGGGGGTTGTGGGGAGCTGAGAGCCACGTTTTGGGCGCAGTGCTGTCACGATTGAGTTTCAGGCTGCAGAGTGGCGTTTGCAGCTATTTGCCATAGTGAGGAAAAGCGGAGCTTTTATTAGTAAGGCTGTATCACGTTTTCCTACTAACCGCCTCGAGTTCCCACATGTTTTGCTTATGCTGGAGTGGGAGTGATGGGCTTTGCTTGCTATTTTGATATGTGATGGAAGGCAGACATGAGGTACGCAATATGGGGCTTGATATTTAAAGCTGGCACTTTCCATGAAAGCGCGCACTGCAGGCTGCTTGTTTATGTTGCGGTCGGGTGCGTGCCCGTGCTGCAGGCTTGCGAAACTGTCACTAAATGGAGAGCCACCACAACAAAAAGTCAGAGCGGCGAGCTTGCTTGCTTGCCTGCTGCCACGGCTTTGTCTTTCGAAGTTCAAATGACTTTTTGGCCATTTTTGAAGGAAGAAAAAAAAAACTCTTGTTGTGGACAAGTCAAGTTTGCAGTGACTTCTCTGCGTGCCCCAGGGCTGCGTTTGTGCGGAGGAGGCTGCTGGAGGTGCTG